ATGAGCAGTTTCCCCGCACGTACCATCTGTATATGAGAACAACAAAGCTGTGGTAGGTTAGACCGGGCGGATAGCCTCACAGAGACAGGTGGGCAGGCCAACATGAGAGGTAGCCCTGAGAGACGCCCCATGTCACAAGACGGAAGTACAAAAACATTGCTACCCTCTTAGTGCCAGAAAAATGCCTACTGTAGGCATGGCTCCAGAAGATAGACCAAAGTTTAAGATTGGCTGGACACACTTGCTTTTCAATAACTGTTTTTCAAGAAATTAATTCAAATGATCACAATAACATTCTGGTCACTGGATTTTTGTTTAATATGATAAGGACTTATGGTGAACCTACTGGGGCTAACCATAACATTAAAGATATGACAAAGTTGGTGGGATTGAAAGCTCTGTGGATATGTTCTTAAAAATCATGCCTGTTTCCATTCCATCACATGCACATTCTCTCAAATATAGTGTAAACTGCACTTGCATTCTTCAGGTTGAGCCCTGGGAAGGCTCCTTAAAATAGGATGTGGCCTGTCATTTCGGAGACTGGTATAGTACAATCTTCCCCTACTACTGGAAATTAAATCTCAAAATACAGGTATATGTCTTCCTACATGGCCCTAAAAGATTTTTAATACCACTGTAATATGAATAACAGATCATACTATAGTGTATGTATAGTGTGTGTAGAATACTATAGACTAATGAAATAGCCAATAATATCAAAATATTTTTAAAAAAATATTTTGTTTACATTTAATCCAAAGGGTGGTGACCAAATCTAAGAAGAACTGGAAATTATATTTTGAGTCATGAAGCCGAGTCCTCTCTCACATCTTACAAGTAAGTATATGTGCAAATGAGATACTGAACAGCTGCTAAAATTCTGTCTTTGTTGTATCTGCAATGCAGCAAAGCCTAGAGAGGTAGCTGGATTAGTGCAGGATTTTGTGCAATAGCTTTGTGTGCAGATGTAACCAGGAGAACATTGTGCTACTGTTCACTTATGTGAAAGATTCACCCAGTCTTCTACTGTGTAGACCACCATCATGTTGTGATTTACATAGGGGATCACTTCTAGGCCAGTATACAAGACTTGCCGTTCTTTGGAGACTGCTGGAAGTGAAGTGTTCTTTTATGCCTTGCAAAAGGAAGTCACCAAAACTCAGTGTTTCTGGTTTGCCTTCAGAATAAAATCTTTTTTTTCAAATATCTAGAGACCTTGAAATATCCTTAAACTCATTTTGGACACACTAGCACAGGCTGTTTCTGAAACAAAATATCCTCCTTGAGATGCTGGCAACTGCTAAGTGAAAACAACTTTCTTATAAGTTTTATTACCACTGTTAGAGGCAGTGAAAGGGACAAGAATGCTCATCTTACTCATCAGCTGCCATGGCACCTGAGGTTTACAACTTCAATGTAACTTCAACGTGTGGACCGCTCTAGGGACAGGACACAAAGTCTTCCAAAATTCCAACACAGAAGAAAATATGTATGTCCTTTTTTTGCTTGTAAACTAATAGATTTTAAAAATAAGTATTTGGTCAGAGTAAGACAAGATAAAGGTAGAAGGAAAAGACGTAAGGAGACCTTAATAGTACATTTTTTGTTTGTTTGTTTGTTTTTGTCTTCTACTTGGTACGTACCTGGCAGAAACATTTGTTGTGAAGGAAACACATTCATTGACAAATGTTAATGGTGTCGTTCCTGTAATATCTTCCCACTGCGCAGGTGTGGTTCCACCTAAAGTAATAATATAAGAAAAAAATTTAAAACAGGAAAAAAATCACAGCCCTTTACGCTCTAAGAAACTCATACATTTTTCATTCCTTTTTTTCTAATCAGCACCACTCTAAGAAACTCATACATTTTTCATTCCTTTTTTTCTAATCAGCACCGAAAATGTTTAGCAATTGCATGCGAGATGGTCTGGAACTTGCAGGTCCATACAGACCTTTGCTATAGTATAGCAAAAAGAGGAGGTTGGAATCTTCTCTATATTACAACCAAACACATGTTCTGCCCAGGTCCTTTACCTGTTATGAGGCAATGGTCTGGTGCTCTTTTTAGTAATTTCAGAAGAATATTTTTTTCAGTTTATAAAGCAGACCTAAGAAGAAGTTTGCATGGCTTATTACATTTCAAAAGTCATACTGTGAACCCACTGTTGGGCAGTCATTTGTCATCAATTTTAGTGGGATTAGTTTAATATGAAGTGCTTACCCACATGAGCATGGGGGCTTGAAATTTGGCCACGACCACAATCCCCTTCTGCATCACCAACATTTGTGCAATACTAAATCACAATGCTGGTGCTCAGTGAACACGAATGGATAAAGAAGTTAAGAAGTGGGAAGCCTAGGGCTACAAAATGAGGATAAAAATATATAACGCATCGCTGTTCTCTAAGGCATAATGGTACCTTGATACAATGTTGATTCTGATGTCATTCATGGATATGAATGCCAGTTTATTTTCTCATGCAGCCCTCACCCTAGGTTTCACTGAGCTTGATATCACTATAATCAGTTTAATCCATTTGACCCACAACAGTTTATAACTGTAGGGTCCTGCGTGCTCACACAGAGCACCAGTGCAGAAAACCTACCTGTTATGCTGCATAGTAATCTTAAAGTAGGGGTGTCACCCCCATAACCATTCATCATCCCATCACTGGAAGCTTTGGGGACAGGAATAGTCATTGTGATGGGCTTGTGGAATTTCCTTCTTCTGGGCTCCAAGGTGACTATAGGACTGAAGGTAGCCTTGTTGCCTAAAATCTTTTTTACGAGTTCATGGTGCATAGGTTGGGCCTTTTCAAAGTAACAAGACAAAAAAAGAAAACGTAAATGACCATGTCCTTCACCTGTCCCTCATGTCCCTCAACTTCTGTTTTCAACAGAAGCTCTATTGCTTTCCAGCTAATCGACTGAGTTCAACACTTATATTGCACTTTTACTCTAAGGGTCTTAGAGCATCTAAGAAACATGCAATTAATTAAATCCCACACCTCCCTAATACTTATGTTAGTATTCTCATCAGGTAAATGACTTTCCTGTTACACAGTCATGACTGGCTGACTTATGAATAGAAGACACAGGTTTCCCTAATCTTTCTCTTTCTCTAAGCTCATTCTCTCACCCAAATTTTTTATTTGCTCAGGAGTATTTTTGACAGAAGTGTGCAAATGGTCAACTGATTACATCCTATTGTCTGCTGACTCTACAGCATGAAAGGTGTTCTGTCCTATCAAGGAGCATGCCTCAAATGCAGCACCAGTGAGGGAAGAGTGATAAGCATTGTAATGGCTTCTCTGTACCTGGAGGCCAACGCGAATCCGCTTGGTTAGAGCTCCTTCTGGGAAGACTGCCTGCACTTGTGGTACAACAGTACTGCTAAGCACACCTCCCTCAGGTCCAATGAGGTTGCTGTCTTGTTTGATGCGGGATACCACTGCAAAGTACTGTGGGAAATCTCGGGTGATGATACGACAGATACGCTTCTTCTCAAGCTCCTCTGGAGTGTCAAGTACTGAACCAAAATAATCATGGTCAATGATGAGAATTTTACGGCAAAAATACAGCTATGTCCAAATTAATTTAACACTACTTTAAGCTGTAGTTTAAAGTTACAAATACCTAGCACTTAAAGGGAAAAAAACACATGCCAGCATTCTAAGCTAAGCTAAATCGAAGCATAAAGGAAAGAAAGAAAACAACTTGTAGATAATCCAGAACACCAACTTCTGCAAAATCTGTGTGCATATACATACAGCAAGAGCTTTGGATCAAGCCCATCTCTTCCTGGCATTTTCAGACAAATATCAATGCTAATTCCTGATTTATCAAAGCCTGACATTAAGCACATGAGTAGTCCCATTCATTTCTATTGTATTACTCACAGTTAGGCAACTACTTAATCACCATAACATATTGTAGCCTAAATATACTTTTTAAAATCTTAAAGTCATCCTTAGAACCAATCTTTGGACCCCAGAACAAAACCCATTTACATGCTCTAGATCGGTGATGCTCAAAGTATGGCCCGTGGCCTGGGTTTGACTTATGGAGCTGAATCAGCTGGCCCATGGGACTTCCCATGGGCCCACAAATTTGACAGCAGGGGAGTGGGGACAGCATGAATTATCATGGCTCTGGGAGCCCCACATCCATTAATGCTGTTACTGCTTCCCTGCCACTAAATTTTTGGACCCATGGGGAGTCCCATGGACCAGATGACATGGCCTCACCTGCCAGATTGGGCTGATATTCAGAGTCAGTGTATAGCTCTGGACTCAGCATGTAGGTTCAGGCTTGGCACTTGGCCCCAGAACTAGCACAAAACGTCACTTCACAGCTGATGACCCAGAGTGCAGGATCACTTCACGGGTCAGATCTGGCATGCGGGGTCAGTCCATATTCTGAATCTGCCCCGCACACTTGGCCCCATGCACCAGATCTGGCCTGCAGACTGGCTGTGCTGTACTCATCTGGCCCATGGACCAGAAAGGTTGAGCTGTGGTGCTCTAAGTTATTGGCAATACTACTATGGATGTCCCATATATTATGTCCGTTCAAGTTACAATAGAATCCATGATCCCTGCATTCCCCCAAGCACGTACCTCCTAAGAGGTAATATTATAATACAGAACAGCAAGATGTCTGTTGACGAAACTTTTTGTTCATTAATGAGAAGAGAGTCTGGGCAAAAGTGAATTGAATATCAAGGTTTATATTGACTTTTTACCATGTGATTGCAGCTGATGATGATTTTGCCTCTACTGAAAACTCTAGGGGTATCAGCTAAAACAGACCTCTCCAGCAGTGCTGCTGTGTGCTAAGAATGTTATAATGATCCACTGTGATTTCAATAAACATGAGCAGAATTTGCCAAAACAGACCCTGAACCGGAGGACCAACAGTCAGATTGTAAGTCATAGGAAAGATGATAAAGGAAGCTTTTCTTCATTATAGAAATAATGCTGGAAAAGGCAGTGAATGGACTAGGGTGGAAAACTGGCTGGGTACCTTCATCCATTCCATTCAGGATTTCATTTAGTTCATCCTCAGTATATTCACAGAAGTGCTCCTTCCAGCTGTCCCCATTCTCACTGCGCAGAATCACCAGCTCTCTCTCTTTTCCACGCAGAGCCGCAAAATGGGGAATCTCCACAATCACAGGCCTAGCACAGCAATACAGCACATTAGATGTATATGGGAGAGAGGCAGAAATGGAAACAACAGCAATCCCATTGAGTCTGTTACAAAGTGACCTGGAGTTCTATCTATTATTCAGGAATATTTTGAAGCAACCCTAACAGGCATACTAGTAGGTCACTAGAGTATCTTAGCATTTTACAACCCCCCGGTAAATATACCGTAGGATGATTTAATTGCACACTCCTCTCTTTACACAATGTGTACACAACTGGTAATGCAGCAGTGTGCTGAAGAGAAATTTTAGCCTTTTTTTAAAAAGATACTTTAAATAAAACTAGTGTTCATTTTAGCTGTCACTACAGTATGGGTTAACACGTGCAATTTAATTTCAAAGCGAATCTACTGTAATAGACAGTGCAATTTCATTTCAAAGTGAATCTACTGTAATAGAGAGTTAGCTAGTTGGAGGAATTTGATCTCAGATATACTTGTGGAAATCTGGATACATCTATTGAAATCAATGGGCCTGATTTGTCTCTCATGCTGATTTTATTTTGTTGTAACTTCTACCGGCTCCAACACATTTCATTCCTGGGAAAAGAAAAGTAGGTCCAAGGATATAACCTGGATTTGTACTAGTGTAGAAGAGAGAATAATCGCCTCATTCCCCCATTCTGTGAACAGGTAAATACGTGTGTGTTTGTGTGCATGTGCGAGCACACATGCTTATCTAGACAAACCCATGTATACACAGTCAAATGTACTTTCTATATCTCTGGAGAAAATATAAAGATATATGTTGTATACATACACCTCAATAGTGAGAATCACCACATGGGCCACCATGTACATGATATGTTATATCCAACATATAACATATGCTGTTGATTTACTGGCAGCAATGTGTGTAAAAAAAAACCAAAACCAAACCAAACCAAACCAAAACACAGTAGATTCTTTTTGGTCCCAGTCCAGGTTGCTTTGCTACAGACATCAAGCACACAACAGCCGGCACATTGTACAACTAGGAAGATTTCATGCTAAAACAAAAATGAAGGCCACATAACTTTAAGAAAAAAGATAGAACATACCACCAAAACAAAAACCACATACCACAAGGGTTGGAAAATGGTCTACTAACGGTTAAGTATACAGAATTTCAAATCATAGAAAGGGACAATGCCATGGGCGTAATGACATAAAAAAATCATATTGCAGAAGGAGGAGAAGAACGGGGAGGCCAGCATCCATCAATTTGTTTTAAGTCTCTCCTACCCAAGGAATTTGGTCCCAGGTGGCCCCAGCTGAAGGATTCGGCTGACCAAACTTTCTCCCTCATTAAGTGGGGGAGGAGCCGTAGGCAGATGAAGTTTACTGCATACATCCAAAGCAGCAGTGAAAGAAAGAACATAAATAAGCTTTATGTATTTTTTTGTCTAGAACCCCAGTGTCAATGTCTGGTCAGAGTGAAATTAGGGTGTACACTGAATAAGGTTCTGCCCTGGCTGTGCCAGACTGATGGCAGGAATTAATGAAATAAGTCTCATTCATTAGGAACCAACCTCACTTCCATGAAGATCAATGGAAGTTCCACTGGTGAACTTAATGGAAGCAGGATCGAGCTCGTAGAATAGCTGGGTCGGTGCAGTGCCGTAACATTTATTTCAACAGATACAATGTGTGACTATCTGGTTTCACTGCCATGACACCACCCAGAAAAAAAATGCTCACTGGCAGGGTACACATGAAAACCAGCTACGTATACATGTATGCTCTTTGGATGAGTTTTTATTGAAACTCCTCATTATATAGAGAGACCATTTAAAGAAAAATAATACGAGGCCAGATCCTATTCTGCCTATTAGGCCCATAAGTGGATGTAGGTGCCCACGTAAAATCCTAATCCACCTTTCTCGAGTCCCTAAAAAATGGTTAATATAGAAGGTGGTTGGGCCATCCTCCACCTCACTGCTTTTTTTTTGTTTATTGAATGCATTTTAAGGGTAAGATGTTACTGTAGATATGTTAACAGGTTTTCAGAGACTCCAACAGAATGGATACAGGATCAGAGTTAAGTGCCTAATGAGTGGATTAAGATCTGTCCCACTAAGTGTTAACATAACTGTGGGAAAGGAAGAGATGACAAGAGACACAATGAATGTGACAGCAGTGGTATTCTGCTGGTACTTCACATTCATATTTTTTTTGCTTAAGTACTGACCAACATTTGAAGAAAGTGTCAGTGTTTTGTTAGGCAGCTTCTGCCGCTGCCTGATACCAAGGAGCAGCCTGTTTGCCACTGGAGAAGGCAAGCTTGCCCTTAGCAACAGGTTCTCTGTGTTTCAGAATTCTTCTTGTTCTTCTATTAAAGTACAGCAGCAATGAAATGATGTAAATGTGCATCTGATTCCACCCCTACCCCATCCAAAACAATTAGTGTTAAAGAACCATTAAATCACTCTCTCACAAGTCTATTCTTCTAGACAGAACATTAGCAAAAACAATGGCTGTGCTGACTCCCTTGATATGATGGGACTTAAAATCAATTGATTTGTTGCAAAATGGATTTAAACTGTTCCCCTTCACAGCTTCTTTGTTAGTTTCCAACTGAAGCCATTCACTCTTTTGGAGGGGTTCCTTCCATCATCCACATTTGGATGCCAGAGTTGATAGGGAGAGCAGCTAATAAACCAAACCAAAAAAAAAAAAGGAAAAAGTGTAGAGAACTGCTGGTTTCAGCTGAAAACTGCTAAAACAAGCGCAGCAGTAATTGCAGTTCTGATCTTTCTATTGGGTATTGCAATATAGGACAAAATAAGCTGCTGAAGAATTTTTGAGTTGTCCTATTGCTTGAACTTGCAATTTTAACCCTAGAAAAATCAAAAGCTTGTGCTTCCTAGATAGTCCAAATTATTCATAACACAACACAAGTTTCTAATACAAGAAGCTCTAACTTGTGTTGCATCTGCAGCAGGCTTCAAATTTGGCTTTAGATCAGTGCTGTGTTATTTGTCTTTTGTTGCTTAATTTTGGATGATTTAAATATAGTGTGAATTGGTTCCCTATTTTACTAAGTGATTTCCATTATAATAGCACAACACTGACCAATAAACTTATTCCAGGAAGCACACCAAACCTTAGTGTTAGTGTTTTAAAACTTTAGTGTTCTCAAGAACAATGCATACAAGCCAAGTGACTTGCTGATGGGTTTTGTGTCAATTTACATTGGGGTAGGCATCCTATTATGTTACAATATATAAAGAAAACATTTTTTCAGATCAATTTGACTGGGGGGGGGCATCACTGCAGTGCAACTTATAAACAGATGAAAATATATCTTCCATTTTCACTTCAGCCAAACCATGACTCTTACCCAAGAAACTGAGCACCAGAAGGTCCAACTTCAATAAGGCGGCTGGCCAGACCTTCTCCTTCCACCATTGGAGGCATGGTGGCCAGTCTATGACGTTTGACCAACCGGCAGGTTACTCGTGTTGGGGCAGTGCATTTCCGAGGGGGAATAATGATCCTTAGTCCATTATGCCTGCAACCTCGCATGGCACCACCACGGGCATCCACCATGAAACTAACCAGGAAGCTGAAAGCGTGAAATGAATATTATATACAAAGACATATTAGGCAAAGAAAAATCACTTTGGTTACATTCCAAATTGTTTTCTTCCAGCATGTACAGACTATATACCTAAGTGTGGTGCTTTCTTACTACTGTATGTAGAATTTTAACAATCTTGTCCTTGTCTGTGTGGTGTTAATTGATAGCAATATCACTAATTACTTAAACTAACAACATCTATCCTAGAATTTTTCAGAACATGTATGACAGAATACATATGAAGGAATTAGGGGGAAAAAAGTGTGAGCATCATATAGGGTCCTGTGCAAATGCCTCTATTTTACATTTGTGAACATTTTTTTTTCCAAAGCTCTCATACATTTCTACCTCTAGTGCCATCACAGGGTAAGATAGGCACAAAACCCATGCATACATAACAAACTTCTAATATTTATTATTAAAGAAAAAAGACTTACTATGCAGCGATATGAAGAAAATTGTGAACTGGGTTTCTTTTATTGTTAAACTTACTATAATTTTCCTTATGGTTTGATAGATTTGAAATTCCTAAGACTAAATTATTCATGGATTGTAGGTCAAAGTTCATTCTGGATTACACATGTTTTATTAAAACCAATGGGAATTACACCTACATATTATACCAGGTCTAAATTCCTTCTTTATCTGCAACACCTGCCTTTTCAAACTTTTCACTATCTCAAATATTAACTAGAAAGAGAAAATAATCAAAGAGTAAGACTTCAGTGCACTTGTTAAAATGGTTACATTGACTTTTAACAAGTTAAGCACTACTACTTACTAGATTTAGGGTGCCCACTTTCCTCCTTAGATTTACAAAAACTAAATCAGGATGGGAAAGAGGTTTAGTAAACAGGATTCTTTTAATAAAACTATATCTTTAATAATAAAGAGTAGCAAATAGTTGGCATTTAAGATATGCTTCTTCTAAGACAGGCTACTGGGGATGGGAGCAAATTGTAATCATTTGGTTGTGGGCTTATTTAAAAAGTACAGTTTTTCCTGTTACTGCAGACAACATTAACATGCCCCTACGGGGATGCCCTACAGTGGCAGGAAGCTAGCTATGATAGAGAAGCTCTTCATGGATCAGGGTAAATAGCATGTAGGTTTTCCTGGGGAAACAGAAAAGTCTTCCTTAGATGGCCCTTTTTCACCTCTATCTCAATTTTTTTCAGCTGTGACTAATCAGTAGGTTGACTCTAATAGTTTTGCTATGATCAAAGTCTAATTAAGGGCATTTCTGCAAAGCATACAAAACCTAGGAAAGAAAGGCTATACCGACTATTAACTATTGGGTTGCTGGAAATGAAAGAGGGAATAGCTGAGCTGGGACAATATCAGGCCTATTTCTAGCGTTACTGCTCGGGGAGTCACACAAATGCTAACATCTGCTCTGAGAGACCTGCAATAAAGAAAATCTTACAAGATGAGTGACAAATACAAATATTTTCACTCTCACTCGAGTCACTCTGCACAACAAATATTTGCATCCTTTCACTATTAAGACATATGCAATTCATTCCACATGCTGTTAAAACAGAACACTCAACACACCATGCAAGTCAGAATAATGGATGAGATAAAGGAGCCACAACCTGCCAATCTGAAGCACGCCATGCGCCATGGAGGCTATATGAAGACACTTCTCACACATGCAGTCTCCTATTCTACCACCATCCATATACCTCTAGGTTTTGTTTACTGTACAACTCAGGGGAGTACAACCATAATTTCATTCCTTAGGGGCTGTGCTTCTGTGGTCTTAACAAGGGGAAAAAAATGAAAAAGATTTACAGCTTTAATTCCTTGGGTTAATTTTTCAAGAATGGATGCAACCTTCCTAAAATATATTCTGTCTAAATGTTAAATTATGTCTTTTACTACTCACAGGGAAGAAAGAAGAATTCAAAGGTGCTAATTTCTCAGTTTTGAAAATAATCCTGCATGATTGGCTTTTATAGTTGAAGTAAAGCCCTATCTGAACACGTTTTGCATCACCTTTGTGACAGATGTATAAAAAGTGCTTTCACTTCTGTTCCTGAGAATCTATCTAAAATTTGGGTGACCATATTTCCAGTTTCACATCAGGACACTCCCCTCCCCTCCCAGCACATTCATCTGTCTTCAAGCTCTAGCTTCTGCTGTAAGTACCAGAGCCCTGGGAGGAGGGCTGTGGGCCGCTTGTGGAGTGTTACAGCACCTGCCTGAAGAATACCACTTTCAGGCACGGAGATTTTGCAAAACAGGACAACAGTGTTTGTTTGACTAAACCACAGGGATGACCAGGACAGGTGTTTAAAATGAGACTGTCCCAAAAAACAGGATGTAATGTCACTCTACCTAAAACGCTATTGTGATGGTAAGCAGTAGAAATGTATTTAACAGTATTAAGATCTGGGATGAAATAAGAAGTTCCCCATATATTACTGTAATAAATAGACAGCAACAGAAACTGCTATAACTGTTATTAGCAGAGCTGGCTGAATGATGTGATGCAAATCATTTTCTGAATGAATGCTAGCATTTTTTATTAAGTAAATGATCAAGGGTACAATTTTTCATTAGTGTGCAGTATTTTTTTCTATCATTTTTTATTATTTCAAATTAAACTCTTCTTAGAAGCTGAACTCCTTAGATTAGCTTCCTATATTTGTCAAGATTGCCAAGAACACTGTAATTACTACCAGAACACAAAGAAATAAACATATAAATATGAATAATTATCATACATGAATGTAAATAACACCAGTAATGAGTACATCGCATGAGCAAATCAAGTAATCGCTTTCCTTATAGCAATATCCAGTCCTGTTCTTTTCATGCGTGGTATTCTATTTTCTCTTAAGTTTTTTTCAGACAAAACAAAAAAGAAGAGGAGTGTACTGAATTGATGGTGCTTCTCCATGAAATGTACAGTATGTGTTCATATGCTTAAAATAGCTGACAGGATATTTGGTCCTGATTCTGACTTCACGCATACACTGGGTTTTATGCAGCTTGACTGTGGGTCCCAGCCCCAGGACTGCACTGGGGCTGGTCCCAGAGACTCATGCACTACAACGGCAGAAAACTCAAAGCTGCAGATGAAGGGCTGCACCACACAACTGTCAGCTTGCCAACCAACCTCATGCAGCCGGCATCTGGCTGAATGATGGGAATTGTGCCACACATTCAATTCAAGGTGTGATGGAAACCAACCACAAAAATATTATACATATTTTGTGGAATATTTTTGTGGCTGGTTTGCCATTTTGTCGTACCATGTATTGCCTGAACGTGTGGATGGGTTACCATTTTAAGATACAATTAGCAGGTAAATCATATCTTAAATATAACATCTGTCAGAGGCATATGGTACTGTAATCTGAAGCTGACATTAAACAAAAAGGAGGAAAGCTATAAAGGCAAGGGACAATAATGGGTAATAGAGGATAGCTAATAAACCTTGCTGTATGTTATATCAGCAAAATAAAAAAAAAACAGTGTAATCTTGGACGGTTTTTGCAGACTTTATGCCACAGACTAGGGAGGTAATACTTCTTTCCTATACAATCTTATTGATAGCATATCTAAAATATTAGCCCCCTATTCTGGAAACCTAGTACCAGAGACAGCTGGAAGCTTCAAGGTACATGGTAAGGTCAAAATTGTGTCAGACAAAAGATCCACATTTTGTAAATGCTCCTTTGTTTATATAAATCTTAATTCCAAATATGAGCAGATTTTGAAAAGAGCCATGCTAGAAGTCATGAAATGTATGGGCCACAGAAGTCAAGGAAGATTTAGAAAGTTTGTTTTGTATAGAAAGTTCAAAAGTAGGAAATTAATTTATAGAAATTGGTGACTAAGCAAGATACCAAAGCCAAATGTAGTTATTGGTTGGGTGTAAAAAATAGGAAAAAGGAAAGGAATTCCTTTGGGTCTAATTGAGTTTACATATATTAAAATAGCCAATCATATCAACTGGGGACCACAAAAACAAACAGTTTTTATGTAGAATAGAGCTGTGTCAGGAATATCCATAGTAGCTACAAGATAGACACATTTGAAGGCAAAATTATCAATGTCTCTTTTAGAGAGAGTCCATATGGTAATAGATGATTTTTTTTTAAAAACTGGAACGTCTCACAGAAAAAAAGACAACACACCTCCAAAATAAACACTTTTTGGAAAATATAAATATTCCACTGTATAAGACTAATGATATACCTATTGCTGCAAAGAAGTTAAACCAAGCAATCTCTGCTCTAACAATGTATCAAAGTCAGTCTGTCAAAGTCAATGCAGTTTCCTTCACACTATCCTTTACTTTCTAATTGTTTTAAAATAAATTTCAGTGGAGGGTCATGTGAATGCAGGAAAGCTATAAAAATATTCAATAAAGTATGAGTGCTGTACAAATACATCCAGTTTTCCCAGGGGCTTTAACCAAACCTCTATCTATTCAACTTTTCACACATATTTTTCAGAACATTATCATTCACACATCATAATATACATATACAAAACTGTTTTGAACTAATGGGATGTGTGCACTGCCTGAATGCTATGCTTTAATTGAAGTTTGTGCACCCAAAATTATGTCACAATATCATCATGTAATGATAAGCATTCTAACAAAGGGAGGAAAAACAGACACAACCAACCTCGCGAGTTATGGCATTTCATCCCAAAGGATCTAACACAAAATTCACAGACATACACAAAATCTGATTAAATTGGGGTTGGAAGGCAGCAGCAAGAGTGCTAATATTTTGGCTAAGGACATCAGAGAAAACTCTTTAATTCTTGCAAGATGTTTCCACATAAAATAGATCAAATCTAGATGGGTATTTTTTATGTTGTGATTGAAAGAATCATTTACAAAATGTATGACTAAACTGATCTAGTTTTGAAGGGTGAAAGGAGGTGAGGTTCCAAATAATTTTGATATTCCAAACACACTAAAGTGTTTCTTTTGCCAATGTTTTTCTTTGATAAGACAATAACAGCTAATCTATTTCTGAAGCCATTTAAAATGCAGGAAAGAAATAAACAGGGAAATAAAAATGGAGAAATATGTATTGAGAAAGACAGGGCGTTATTTTTGTGCTTTGCCATATGTTCTTGTTTTAGTCAGCTGTTTTCCAGAAGAATCATGCTCCCTTCAGATAGTGAAGAATTTAAGTTTGTTGGCACTCAGCTGCACTTCTCCGTCTCTAAAACCATTTGATCAGCCATGCGCACACAGTTTCCTAAAGAGTCTTTCTGGAACAGGTAATGATTGCTGCTACCACATAAAAACTGAAAATGCAAAAGCGATCCGCTATCATTATGCAGTCCATTCAGAGACGGTTATTCATTTTAGTTAGCTAGGCAGGCGCACATGCTTTTCATTATATAGCAAAAAATTGGTAACAGTGTCACTGAACCATCACCACCACAGACACACTTAAGAGCTCTTTTATCTAAGTCATTTTAGCTAATACAAGAAACTAGGAAACAAGGAAATAGCAGCACTCAGTGTTAGTCAAAGTGTAAAAAAGCAGAAACAAATAGCTTAATCAGGGTGCTTCAGCAATTCTCAAGCGTAGAATTGGAAAGGGAAATGGATCCAAAGTTTGAGTTCAAAGATACCAAAGATAAAGGCGCTAATCAAATGTCTGTTGAAGTCAATGGGAGGTTTTTCTGTTACTTCAACAGGTGTTGGATCAGGCTGATAAGTAACTATACATAAGTAAAAATATACATCCTAGGAGGACAAAAAACATGAACTGAACTGCAGGCATCTAGAAATAATTGTAAGTTTCTTGCACAAATGTACCCTTTACTGACTGTAAAAATCTTAGCTAGCTAAAACAGGTAAAAGGTAGGGGTGTGCAACGTGGGCAGCATTTGATTTGGATTTAGCCCGATTCAGGGAACAGTGATTTGTTTAGCTGATTCAGATCACTGTCCCAATTTGATCTAGCCAGATCTGAAGATTCAATGCTGATTTGGAGAATCAGCAATTCAGCCATAGACACAGCATTATATGTTTTTTCTACATACCTCAAAGTACCAGGAATAGCTCATGAATGGTGAGTTGATGCGTCCCACGGAAGCATGGGGGGGGGAGGGCACATGCTCGGTGGTGGACCCAGAAGTGGACCAGAAGTACTTCCAGTCCACTTCTGGGTCTGCTGCCGGGAGCAACGGGGACCCCCCCCTGCAGCTCAGTGATTGGTCATGGGGGGGACCTCAGGTGCCCCCCAGACCCAGGAGGCACCAGTCACCGAGCTCGGGGAACAGGATCCGTGGCCAAGCATACAGGAGACCCCCCCGCACTCCCGTGGGACACTCCATCTGCCCCCACCATCTCAGAGTTCACGAGCTGTGCCTGGTACCTTGAGGTACATAGAAAAAAAATATAAAGCTGTGCCTATGACCAAATCATCAAATCTCTCTGAATTGAATTGGAGGCTTCCGATTCAATTCGGAGAGATTAATGGGTCTCCTGATTCAATTTGGATTTAGAGATTCAGGAGCCGAATCTCCTCTGAATTGAATCAGTGACTGAAGCTTTGCACAGCCCTAGAAAAAGGCTCTTGGCTGAGAACAAACTATGATATGGGAGGAGTTAGAATTCCCTAAGAATTTTATTTATTTAAGTATTTAAGACAGGGGTGGGCAAAATGTGGCCTGCCAGGCCATTCTATCTGGCCTGCAAGGCCCCTAAAAAATTTAGAAAATTAATATATATCTGCCCCTGGCTGCCTGTCATGCAGCCCTCGATGGCTTACTGAAACTCAGTAAGTGGCCTGAGGTTTCTCAACAACAACTGCAGCTACATGTCAAACAAATGCAACAAACATATTGGATATTAGGGGGTTAATACACTGGAATCTTCAAGTAGGTACTGCATCATCTGCTATGCTTCGTGGAGCACCGAGCACTGCATCAATGATAAATGTATCACATTCATTTATTATAGCTCTTGGCACCTACATGACTGATTTTATTTGCCAGCAAAATCACACAGAAGTAAGGATGTAGGACCAATTTAACTCTTTAATTGCACTATTGCCACTCCCTCTTCTGATTTTAATAAGGTAGAAAATGGGAAAAATTTGGTCTACAAAGAGATTCTGTAGCACTCTGCATATGAAAAGGACTGTGGAAAAGGATTCACTTTTGTGAAATGCCTTCAAAGCCATAATTATTTACATTTCAAACAGCCTATTCATGTGACTGGTATAGAAAATTTAGTATTAACTACAGACAAAACTTAGACGGACTGCACTGGGCTTCAATTAAACTGATCACAATGTCCCTAGAATTTTTTTAATAAAAGTTATTAACATACTTTGGAGAAAAGGGGTATCTCCCATACAATGGAAAAGTAAGACCATGTAGAATTTTGCCAGGTAGAATTTCCCTACTGCCTAAATAAACATAAAAGCACTAAAGCATCCTGAGAGCGTGTAAGTTGGAAGAAGGATGAAGGTAAGGATGAAGTGGTGAGGAAGCATATTGAAAGAAATTATGCAGAAGTTCACCTGCTGTTGTCATGATCAAGACATGGAGAAGAATGGCTGCAACAGAATACATAATTTAGCACAAAAAAGAGCATGAAGTGAAATTTATAAATAAAAAAAGAAATAAATGAGGTGTTTTTTTAACCTGAGCCTATAAATATGAAGAGCATGTGAACAAAGGGTATAAATGAGTATGGAACATAAGCTTATAAAGTATCATGAGTTACAGGTGGCAACTACAACAGCAAAGCTACAGTAATTTGGGATGCTGTTACCTCCTCTCACCATGTGTGTAGCCTTAATCTCAGCTCTGAATTGAAGTAATCATTTTGGCATCTGGACACCAAAGCTGGGCATCTGGTTCCCTAAGTGCTTAGGTCAGAGCCAAATAAGGTACTGTACTTCCTTACTCAGGTGCCTACTTTTACAAACCAGGCCTCCAAAATATAATGTGTCTACAGCTTAAAATGTAATTCCATCAAGAGCTTCTGGGAACAAAATGAATTATAATTCTTTGTCCTCAGGTGTTCTGTTGAATGGTCTGTCCTCCAGTTTGCTCCATCTGAACATGTTTGTAGTCCTCCTTTCATTCCCACCTCCAGGTTGACAGATGGTAAACTTTTTGTTATAATTTTTCTATCTCATGTTCCAGTAATACAAACTACAGTCAGTTATGTTATTTGCCCCCATCACTTCATTATTATGTAAATATTGCCATTTTCTTTTTTTGGCATCAGCAAAACTTTTAGCCCATTGTAAGATTTGATGGATTCTAATATCATTTACTTTTGTACATTTGAAATGACTCTCAGCTGCTAGCTGCCAGGTCCTGTTTCCACAACTATTTCCATAAAATGAATGTCACAGTGGGGAAAACAACGTAAAGGATTCAGAAAACAACACTTTAAGCGTGTTTTATTTACCTTGTAAGCAATGATCCAATCTCCTTTTTTCCAGACAGGCAGCTAAGAATGATAACTCTCATTATTTATCAATTTTAACCACTGGCTCCCTATTCTTTTTTTTTTATCTCCATTATGGAAGTAATGGTTTCCAAAAGAGCAAACTAACACGATTCCAACTATTTAGCTTTCCCGGATGTGTTTGTGTATGTGTGTGTATATATATATATGAAGATACCTTTGAACTGTTTGTTAGTCAGACTTTTCATAGCGTCAAATGAACGTAACATACAGATATACAATAATAAAATACCTTGTGGATAAGTAAAATATTGTATTTCAGGATCTCAATGTTTTTAACATAACAGGAATTTTAGCATACCCATTTTACTCTTGGGGACTCTGAAGCACAGGAAAGTTGCCCTAGATAACTAAGACAAGTTAATATAAGAAGGAATGGAGAGACCACTCTCTCCTGCCAGCACCCTCCCTGCCTCTCTCCATTTCATGCCGTAATCGTTTGAAAACATTATCTCTCTTCCCACAGTACAGTACAATTACAAACTCATCTGACCTGAAGATTGCTGATAACCATATAATCTACAAGAGTAAACACTGAGTTGCTTCTTGCATGTCACCCAACCCAACAATAGCACAGTGTAATAATTCATCAGGAGTACTGTACTTTCAGACCATACATTTTCATTCAATCCTACAAGCCAGGGTAAGTCGAAAAGATATAAAAATGTGCTATTGCCAAGCAGTGTCTAAAGGGCTCTTCAAATCAGAGTTTCACTTCTAACCAAATGAAAATATTTCACTTATTCACCATGGGAAAGGAACTCAGTGTGCATTGCGTGGTTAAGCCTTTAGAAATAGACTTTTGCACAGCTGGGTGTTACTTTCTCATCTTAACCTGTCAATTAAACAAAATGAGCTTATTCCCTGGAATTTTCAGCAAAGTAACAATGCTTTGCTTTTTCATCAACCACTTAGCATTCAAGTTTTCCTGACTTACTGAAACAATCTTAATTTGGGCCGCTTTAAGGATTGTATTTCCTCCTTCCTTTCTTTCCTCTTTGTGATCACTATTTCTTGGCATCAGGTACTGGATTCCTTGGCTGGCTGGTCAAAAGTTGCAGTGTATTCCTATTAGCTCCCCTGTACCCAAGGGAGTGTTTACAAACCCATTTCCTTACCCAGGGGTGTAATTCTACAGTTTTATGACCTAAAGAAAAGCTTTCCCCCCTTGCTGGGGGTGACATGTTAAACTTATGTTCTTTAAACATAATAAATCAATCCAATGTGTCCCTTTAATATTATGTAGATCTTAAGTTAATTTTCATGGTAAGTCACTGCAAAGTAAAAGTTAGTTTTTGTGTAGCATTTTAATTTTTTTATGGGGTAAAATTCTTGCTCATGAAGACTCTACTATTATTGTATTTTACTGGAAATCTTCTAGAGATATGTCTAAAGAAAACAACTGCCCTGGTTAATATGATCTGTATCTTATCCCCAATAACAATTTCCCTCATTGATTTATAAAATCTAATTTCCTTATTCTGGAACTGGCAAGTTGGTCATGAAGTATAATGGATTAGCTGAAGAATGATAATGTAAAAAAAAAAAATCAAGTCCCGCAGAATCTTGATTAACTGTTCTTTAAACGTAGCTATCTTATCATCTATCAATACTAGACAGACCAAGTTTCTGGGAGTGAAAGGTAACATGGTTTGGGAAAAAAAATATTTAAGCAATTTGGCATCACTTGCTGGATTTAGCTGCCAAAATAATTTTAAAACCTAAATCTTGGCAATATAAAAAAAAAATACATATTTCCTATGTTCACAGTTACTTATTTTTATTCCTCTGCTAATTTTAGAGGTAAGAGAGAACAAAAAACTAGCAGCACTGGCTATAGCCAGCTATGCTGTTGGCATCTAAGATTCAAACTTCCCTTACGGCCTTGTTACACAGTAATTTTGTGCAGCTCCTGGAGCTCTTAACCCCTGGATTCACCACACATTAACACCTGAAACCAGTTTTAAGCACTCCTTATGCAGCTCAAGGTTACTCACTACAGGGTAGGATTATTTCAAATCCTTGTTAGCCAGCTCATGTAACACTAAGGCAATATATCAGCAGCTACTTTAGGTTACACCTTAGTGTAAACACCCTACCCACTCCCCTCACCTGCTGACCCAGATCAGGCCCACTGCCCCCCTCCTGCCCTCCCCAGCACCCTAGATCCCTGCTCACTGCCTCCCCACTGCCCCCTTTTCCCCTCTTATCTCCGCCCTCACTTGCTTACTTGTGGCTGCCCATACAGTTTGTCCTGGGAGAGCAGGGAGGGAAAGGTTAACCTACCCATCCACAGCTCCCACCAGCACTGCTCTCTGGACAAGCTCAGCTTGGATCAAAGCAGCAACCTGGTAGCAGAGGCCAAGCAGGCAGGTTAACCCTTCCTTGCCCTTACCTTTCAGCCCTTTAGGGCCCTGCTAGCTTGAGCATGTGACTGCTCCAAACTCAAGTTAGCAGTGACACAGATCAACACTTGTGCAGCTCACAGTGTAACGTGTAACAGGGCCCTTATGCACCTTTATCAGTCTAACCTGCCATCGCACTGTTATGCCAGCTTTATTTCTCTTTGATCCTCTTGTACAAAACAAGGCCACTCAAACTGCCAATAAACAGCCTCATTATCTTGTGTTCCATTTGGGATACCATTTCTAAACATTAACTTGGCCAGGTCTGTATTTTAGTCTCTGTCCTGTTCAGGTTTCATAGGGTTAGTAAAAATGTTCCCAAAAAATCATGGGTGGCAATAGCTGAAGGTACGTGTTCTGGTATGCATAAACTGAAACATTCATTAGGTTGCTTGAATATTACTTGATGGCTGACATTTAAAAAAAGTAAAAAACATGATTCATGTCACTAGATTTCAATTCACATAAGTCACTAGTATTTACTTTATTTGTTAGGCAGATAATGTTCATAAGAAGGGGTAGTCTCTTGAGATCATGACTGTGTAGTGATGATGCTTAGAATTCTTTCATATCTTTTATTATATGTTGCTGTAAATGGGGAAGGTTCACCCATCATAGTTGCGCCATGCACTTACCACCACATCTCCCTCATTTGCAATTTCACTGGATCAAGGTCTAATTCTAGAAGCTATTGTGAGCTCAGAATTGCTGCTTTCCCTATCTACCACTGATGGCAAATGACTTCATGTGATCTCACAGGAACTGCTCATCATCTAGTAGGATCAGGTGACCAACTCAACTATCAGGAAATACAAATATAAAATAATAAATAGTTATATATATATATTTGTATTTCCTGATAGTTGAACTGGTGGCCTGATCCTACTAGATGGTGAGCAATTCCTGTGAGATCGTCTGAAAGCATTTGCCATCAATAGCAGATACAGTGAGCATCATATATAGACATACATATATATATGATTTTTTCTCTCTACAACTCAGTCATTTCATTTTGGTCTGTTCCTTCCGGTTTCTCAGTGGAGAAAATAATTAGTTTAATGTCCTAATTGAAAAAAAAACCCGAAAGAAAACAGATCCCATGTTCACTGAAGTCCATTGAAAAAAATCTCAATGATTTTAATGGATCCACATTCAGGGCCACGTTGAGATTTGCTAAACTGGCTGAAAGTAAAATTCAATTCCGAGATAAGCATTAGCTCAAGCTGCTGTGCCTTCAGTTATGCTCACTCTGTTTCTTCATCCTTTCTAATACATACCAATGGATTTGATAACTCACCCTGAATGAATGGGACTGGAAGAAAGAGCCACATTGTCCAAATTTTCAGTGCCCCAACTTAAGCGGTATGAGTTCCTTTCAGCTTCCTTGGCCAGATTTGTTACCTTGACATATGAAAGAATATTTGTTTGTTTTCTTAATTAAAAATAACTAAACAGACAAACCATAAATACGTTATTTACATAAAAGGGAGCTAACATAATTAATGCTTTAAAAGGGGTGGGAGGGGCAACAGCTACAAATGAGCAATAACGGCATTCAGTTATTAAAAACACATTACTGAGTATTTTGTGTTTGTTCAAAGTGACTGTGCTTTACTAGTCTCCGTGAACAGGAATGTTGGGAGTTACTAAGATGACACATTTGTATTCTTGTATTTCCTTTTAGGTTAGAATATATATTTAATATAGTTCATTTAATACCAGTCAGAAATCAGGGAAATACAAATACAGCAACACACATTGTGCCATGCAGTTCCAGTCGATATCTCTTTCATACTTGCAAAATGATTTAAAAAACATGTACATTGTACAACTTGATTTGTAAGACTAAGAGAAAGATCTTACCTGTTGGCTGGGGATTACGACTGTATCATCGATCATGGCACTGTCCCTCAGGTAGGAGGCATGGCTCAGCGTGTGGGACCTGTCTGAACTGAAGGATCGCAGGCTGGTAGTTTGGCAAGATGCCATGGCAATATATCAGCAGCAGAGATGGTGTTGTGAAGATGTGATGGTGGACCAACCAGCAGAGTGAAAAAAGCGTGCTATTAGCAAAAATGATGCAACTTCCAGGGGGAATATAAACTAGCCATGAGGAAAAATAGAGCCTTGTAAATCTCAGCGTTATGCTAACTTTTTGAGTGTTGGCTGAACAAAAGTCTTTTGATTGACACCTTTAATATGGTTCAAATGAGACCCTAACAGACTATACTAGATCACAATCTATTCCCACCCACAAATGTTTTTAAACTAGTCCAGTGGAGTAATCATCTCCTTTATTTTAAGGGAGAGGAATTTCCTTTGATGCCCTTTAAAGAAGTTCTCTCTCCTGATCCATAACTTAATGAAACCACCTGGAAAAATTTTAAAGCAAATATCTGAAAAAATGCTTAAATAAGCCCCTCTGACATTTCATTCCTATCCAGGCTCTTACTGAAAACTGTGAATGGATAAGGTTTGTTCTGCCCCCCTGGAAGGTACACAGAGCAAGGTGAACTGTGGCCAGCCACATGCTTCCTGCGTAAAACTATGTTTCTCTTCAGTATGCTTACAGCATCTCTAAAAAGGCCATCCAAAATGTAAGCACTGTTTCCTTTGCATGTACACACAGCTCTAGAGAAAACTGGCTGCTGTAGCAATGAGAGATGCAGAAAGCAATAATAAGCTGCTCCCAAGCACCAGCTCAGAACTTAATTGCAATATCTGCTAGCAACAAGCAAAAATCAGAGATGCCAAAACAAAGACATATTAAGCTAAGCTGGGGTTTCTGCCACAGAATAGCATTGCTTCTATCTTTTGAATATAACAAATAGTATAGGCAAGTATCTTTGTTCTTTTTTAAAGGTTAACACCTCACCTTCAGATTTTCCTGAAGGTATACACTTTCCTGTTCTTCTATACCGTGGAAGACATATTTCATGTCACTTTTGGAACTTGCCATGTTTTCATGGATTGCACATATAGAGGTACTACACATGAATATATCAATACTTTTAAGCACGGGAGCTGTACAGGATCAGCCCAATGGAGATGTTATCTGTGATTTTTAAGGGGGACAATTCATTTTTAATTGTCATTTAAAATGTTTTTTGGAAATCAGATTCAACCAACAAATTCAGATCAAAAGATTCATCCAGTAGGTTCTTCCAGTAGCCATACTTTATATAGAAATGGCATGGTGTATTTACATTAGAGATATTCAGAATTATGACAGGCATGACTAATGTTCTTCCCTGTGCATGTTTAACATGTTATACAGATTGTAGAAAATTGATGCAAAGATAGTGAAAGTATTACATGAGTATGAGCCTTGGAAAAATACTGGGACAATGTGTGCTGTTAATCTTCTCGCTCGCTCTAACATTGATAATGGTAAAGAAAAACCTAATAACATTTCACTTGCATGTCATGAAATATTACTCACTCCAAGTGAGTGGGAAAGCAGATATTTGCAAAGATGAAGTATAGTATTTTGCAGGTACAACACATTCCATGGATGAAATTCTGATTCCATTAGTTGATGGCAAAACATATTGGTTTATGGGTACCAAGAATTCACCTTATTTATTTCTGTCCATCAATAACTTGCTTCAAGTTATGTAAACAAGTGATTCTACATCATTTTGAATATGTGTAGTCTTTTTATCATACTCTGGTGTAACATCATATGAGCAGGTTATCTCTCCTGATCCATATGAGCTTTCCAAAATATTACTAATTGAATATTCATTCTTAGAAATGAAAACAAACATCAGTAGCAGACCCCATTTTTCATCACTAGCTTTTATGTGCTTTAAAGAGTGAAGCTTTCAGAGCTGACTTACAGTGCCATGCAATGCTTGCAAGAGGTTGTCCATCCAAGTCATAGGTTCTGCTATTCAGCTAACTAAATGTACTACTAGACAGCACGAGTAGTGAATGAAATGAAACATATACAAAGCTCAGCTACTAATCTCAGGTGATTTTATCCTCATTCTCCTATAGCTATATGACATTGATACTACAACCACAACAACTTGTCCAGTACATACCCAGAATATGGTATATGTACATAAGCACATGTCCAGTACATTGAAGGTATGGACATTACCAAGCCACACAATGACACAAATATGACCGAATCTGTGGTACTTTAGGAGTCTATTGAGATTTTAAACAAAAATTGAAATGGCATTGCCCATTTTCTAAGAACTCAAAGTGCATGTATAGAAATAAGGATTCCAGTACTGAGAGAGAGTGGTATTGAACAGAACTGATTAAGATGCACGTGTTCCAATTTATGATACACAGGCTTTAACCCCTAGGTTAGCAGGACCCCATTCAATGCATTGCGACCATTTGAGAGAGACCATGGTGTGGGAAGCACAAGATGCTTCTTGTTGCCTTAGAACTCTGTGGAAATAACTTGAGTCCCTGAAAACTACATAAACCAGGCTTGAAACCCTTCCCTAACTGCTCTTCTCAGTTGCAGACAGAAAGTCTTCCTCATCAACCAGGATGGATTGGTTTGAGGTAAGCGGTGAGGGGAGGGGGGTTCAAATTCTGAATCTCTGACCTTCAAGAAAAAGGTCCAACTGAACCGGATTGCAGGAGGGACACAGATTTGTTTGAATCCGCTCTTGTTCTAGATATATGGAGGAAGAAGCTGTCTAAGACAGTTATTCTTTTTTCTTTCCTTTCATTACTTCTTGTTCCCTTCCCCTTTCTTCTATCCTATACTTTTGTACTAAAACAAGTACCATCCATGTATCCTATACTATTTCCTCCTCCAAGCAGCTACCTCCTTAAGCAGAACTTGCTTAATGAAAAACAGCCACAAGGTGCTGCAGACACAGTGATGAGTTTAGCATCCTCAATAATCAGGGAATAATATTAGAGCCATGTCACCTTGAGTTAATCTGAAGTTCAAGCTAGCTGGCATATCCACACATGCCACTCTATAACTGGGTATTTCCAGTCACTTGAGAATATTACTAACATAAAAGCAATGCCTTTCATTTGGTCCTGTGAAATCAACAAGTCCAGTATATAAGCCTTGCTTCCTAAATTTAACAGCAGGACTCTAAAATGGATGAACAGTGATTGGTGCCAAAAAGGTGCCTTGGAGAAGACATTTTTTTCATGCTGTGTAATACCTACTTGGGCATGGTGCTAATGAAAGCATATGAAAAGAAGAATGAAGGGAAGAGAAAAATAATAAATAGGGAATATGGTTACAAAACAAAAATACAAGCTCATAAAACTGAATTGTTTAATGCATAATAACTAGAAAGGGCTGCTTAAAATGATTTGCTGGCCGCGTATGTTGCAGCAAAGAAAATGGAAATCTCCATTGCACTGCACTGAATCTGGTACAGGCATTGCAGCAAAGTTTATTTAAGCAGTGTTAGTGGCAATTCCCATTAATTATATCCTGAGAGAGAAATGGAAAGGTGGTGTTGGAAATATGCATGTTTTGTTTGATCTTGTTCATCATGTCATATTATTGAATTTCAGATTAAAGAGACCCTGATACAAGATGGAGAATTAATTTTCATACTGCAGGCAGTGAGACAGATTCTGATCTTAGCTGAGCCAATGTAAATCAAATGATATTTCTGTGTGTGTTCTAGATTTACACTTAGACCTGAAAATAGGCCAGCATTAACTTACATGCTCATTCACAGACAACTCTTTGAAAAACAAAAATTAAAGTAAAACGAAAAAAAAAAAGCCTACAGGATCAAACAGACAGTTTAATAAGTTTGAGAGTTTTTCTTTGTAAGCAGTCTTATAGTCCAAAAGCAGCCTTTGAGACATGAAAACAGTACAGCCATTTAATTTTCATTGGATTCTTAGAGCCTTCTAGAAAATAGGAAAGACTCCAAGGTTGGCAGACCTAAACGATCAGCATTTAGACATCCTGTGATAACATCAGAACTGTTTCTTGACATCTTCTCTTTCAGAAATGATCCAAGGTCCACTGAATAAACAGAAACATTCCTACAAATTTCACAAGGCTTTGGATGATACCATACATGCTGTCCTGGACAGCAGAGGAGGTTGAAAACTGTGAGGCCAAATACTGGATATAGGCATTATTTCAGCAAAACTTCCCTCTGACTGCATGGAAGTTGGACATTACCAATTTGCATCATTTATGATGAATTTTGATTGGAATGCCTAAACATCATTAGCTAATCCTTTTTTGGCCACTCCACTCAGAATGGGAAATGTCTACCTGTCCGTTTGGATATGCCATATGCATTTACATTTGCTAGTAAAATACCAGAGTTTGAAAACGGAGACCTGTATTGTATTATACATTCCAGTGACGTTCTCAACTACAAGCAACCTTTTTCAAAGGGTAAAGTGCTATTGTTCCCATTCTTTTTCTTTTTACAACATTCAGCTCAAAAACGGAAATGCAGGCATTTTATCATTCTACAAATACATACAAACCTAGAACTGAATTTATTTTTATCACTGGCTCCCACAAGCTGACTATGTGTTCTAAGGCTTATTTTTCTGCATGATGCATGCTTTCCTATAGCTATGCTAAATCTTTCTGTTATTTAACATTACATCCTGTGCCCTGCCGTGTTAATTCAGTGAGTCAGAGGAGAAAGGATCCTTTTTCCCTCTTAGTATTCAGCATACACACTCATAGAGACTAACTAACATATTACCCTGAGGTAAGCCGGGAAGCAGAAGACCTGGAGGAAGAGCAAGCAGGAGGGGGCAACAGGGGAGGTGCTCTCATACTTCTGGAGAAATCATGGCAATCAACTGGTTACCTCAAGTGCCTGTACACAAATTCACAGAGCCTGGGAAACAAGCAGGAAAAACTGGAAGTCCTCACACAATCATGGAACTATGACATGACTGGAGTAACAGAGACTTGGTGGGACAGATCGCATGACTGGAGCACTGTCATGGATGGGTTCAAACTGTTCAGGAACGACAGGCAAGGGACAAGAGGAAGAATAGTTGAACGTATGTAAAAGATCCGTATGATCGTTCAGAGCTCCAGGTTGAAACTGGAGATAGGCCAGTTAAAAGTCTCTGGGTTAAGGTTAGAGGGGAGAGCAATAAGGGTGATGTTGTAGTGGGTGTCTGCTATAGACCACCAGACCAGGAGGAAGTGGTGGATGAGGCTTTCTTCAAACAGCTAGCAGAAGTTTCCCATTCACAAGCCCTGGTCCTCATGGGGGACTTCAAACACCCTG